TGAAGAAGTGAGGTTCTTACCCACGAAAGCTTATGCTCCCAATACTTCTGTTAGTCTTAAAGGTGCCACAGGACCCTCTGTTGCTTTCTAATTTATGTTCTCATGTGCCCTGGAGGCTGACTGTAGAGGTTAATTTAGACACCATAATTTAAAAATCTTTGGCATTTTTGTACAGAATTATAATTGTATTGTGACAGGACTAAAGGAAAGAAAACACGAACAACTACACCTCTACCTCGATATAACGCTGTCCTCGGGAGCCAAAAAAATCTTACCGCGTTATAGGTGAAACCACGTTATATTGAACTTGCTTTGATCCACCGGAGTGCGCAGCCCCTCCTCCCCCCGGAGCACTGCTTTACCACGTTATATCTGAATTCGTGTTATAGCGGGTCGCGTTATATTGGGGTAGAGGTGTATTTCTTAATTAATACCCGTATTGTTTGCGCAAAAGCCACTTATTTTCAGATCAGTAGTGCTTTAGGGCTTGTGTGCTGAGCTCTTCTCTGAAATGCTCAGCACCCTTCACTCCCCCTAACTTCACTTGGAGGGGAGGGCGCTCAGCGCCTCACAGAATTGCTCAACACCTTGCAGGACTGAGATCTAAATCTCACTGCAAAATCTTTATTTAATCTAAAATTTAATGAAATTCCATTGTAAATATTTGGATTCTGAACCTGCCAGTTCTTTTGGGGAGTTATGAAGTATTCGTTCATAGGTTTTTTTTCTTATTTTCTATTTTTTAGCATGGGATAATTTATCAGATTTAAAAAAAAATAATTTTCTTTTTCAATGCATGGTGACATTCCCAATAATTTAGTCACTGTCAATCTACAATTGGAATATCCCTCTATGCAGATCTATACAGTAGTATAATAAGATTTTGGACTGGGAGTCAGAAAACCTGGTTTCTCTTCCCAGCATTGCCACTGATTGGCTCTGTGAACTTCAGAAAGTCACTAAAACATTGTGCCTCAGTTTCCCCCTCTGTCCTTTGTAAAAGGCTTTGAGTTGGAAAGTCCTGTCAAAGTACTGCTGCTTCTTATTTATTATTATTGATGAATGAAGCCTGGACTTACTTTTTATTCTAAACTAATCGTTACTAAGATTTTCATGAGAACAAAAGCATCCTCTTTTTTAAAAAACAGCTTTGCTATCATCTTTTTATGAGCAGTTGTGGTGGCTATGAGAGGTGGAGTGACACTGATTCCGTTTCATGAAGCAAAGCACTTTTTGCTGGTGCCAGGATATTGCTGATCTTTTTTTCTGTGGGGCGTTTTTTTTTTTTTTTTTTTTTTTTTACGTGTCTGAAATTTTATCTGCAAAACAAATACACTATGCAAAAACTCAGCTGATCAAATGTTCACTCCCTGCAGCTGCCATGTTCCTGCTGTGTGCTGTGAAAGTGCCCGAGGCTGTTTCTGATATGCTGATGTCCGAATTTCATCACCCTGAGACAGTGCAAAGACTGAACGCTGTTCTCAAATTCCATACCCTCTGGAGATTTCGGTATCAAGTCTGGCCTCGGATGGAGGAGGGCGCTCAGCAGATCTTTAAGGTAGATGAGGAGAACAAACACACTGTTGTCTTTTGCGGTTTTGGCTTGTAGGACAGATGCATTGTGACATGATGACAAGGAATTGGCTTTAAGTCATTTCAGGAGAGGAAAAAAATAATTCTGTATGCCAGGTTTGTAGGGTGCAGAACTGTATAAAAAAGAGACAGTCCCACAGAATGCTGGATGTAGATTAGAGAAAAATACTTAGTAGGAAAGAAACATATTGCCATAGACCAGTGGTTCTCAAACTTTTGCACTGGTGACCCCTTTCACATAGCAAGCTGCTGAGTGTGACCCCCCTTATAAATTAAAAACACGTTTTTATATATTTAACACCATTTTAAATGCTGGAGGCAAAGCAGGGTTTGGGGTGGAGGCTGACAGCTCGCGGCTCCCCATGTAATAACCTCCCGACCCCGTGAGGGTTCCCGATCCCCAGTTTGAGAACCGCTGCCATAGACGATTGGCACAGTATAGTAAGATGGAGTTCAGCGGGGGGGAAATGAATGGAGCTAGTTAGTATCTCTGACTTTTCCACCAATGTTAAATTAGAAGATGATACAACATTTCCATAGTTATTAACAGGAATAGCTTATGCCTGTTATAACTAAATGCATTGAGCTAAATATATAGATTTGGCCATTACTTGTGGAGTTGGGTACTTCTTGACCCAAGCAAGGATGGCAGAATCCATTCCATCAATATTAATCATGGTTTTCTTTGATTAATGGGATTGGCAGTTGAGTTGTCTGCTTACTTTTAACCTTTTATAAAGATTCTATACATCCCAGAAGGTCATACACTGTTCTCCTAACCACTTTAATTTTTAATTATATAATGGACGTATCTGGGAAATGGGCTACTGCACTGCAGATTGATATACCAGAGACCTTCTGGTGTCTAGCTTAAAGGAACAGATGTTCTTCTTTGAGGGCTTGCTCGTGTCGATTCTGTTCTAGGTGTGTGAGTGCACCCACGTGCACAGTCGTCGGAGATTTTTGCCTTAGCAGTATCCATTGGATTGGCTGTAGCACTCCTGTGAGTGCCGTGCTCATGCATTGGTATATTAGGCGCTGCCGACTCTACGCCCTCTCAGTTCCTTCTTACCGCTTGTGATGGTTGGTCAGAGCGCCTCGTCTTGCACTGCAAGAGCATTAGCAGTTCTTCACAGCCCATTGTCTGTCTTCTTCGGGTATAGTTTGTAGGTACATTAAGTGAAGTGTTAGGTTAGTCTGGTAGTTAGAGTCCTGGCTGGGACTTCACCCCGGAGCGGGGCACACCTCGTTCCCCAGGCTTTTAGCCATGCTCATCCTGCGGCAGGCCGATGCCGATTAGTGACCCCCACGCCAACTGTTTGAAGTGCATGGGAAAGAAGGACAAGTGCAGAATCTGTAAGAACTTTCACCCTAGAACCCAGAAGGAGCGGGACATCCGTGTGAGGGCCCTCCTCAGGGAGGCTGCGCTTCATCCTGCCTCGGAGTCCTCCCGCTCGGACCCTACTTCAAGCACCTTGGCATCGGTGAGGAGTGCGCTGCTGGCACTGGGCTCAGCCTGGCACTCTTCCCCCTCACCAGTGCCTAAGAAGCAGCAAAAGAAGAGCCCCCTGACACCGGAAGGGAAAGGGGCCTTGGTCAAAGGACCTATGTCACGCCATGTGCCCGCCCTGGGGCTTCACGGGGGGTACCGCTAAGGTCGGACCTCCTAGCCCAGCCAGGGATCCACCTCCGACTCCCAGGAGCAGCAGGGGAACCAGGTTTCTCCTAGGGCCCTCGTTGCCCGAAGCGGTCCTGGCGGCTAAAGAACAAGCCGGCCAACCGGCACCGCAGACACTGCACCAGGCACCAGACTTGGCTAAGGCCCCAACACCTAAGGGCAAGCCGATCATGGGACCGCCCCATAGGGCAGTGGAGCACCCTCGGTCCCCAGACCGCAGGCGTAGATCCCCATCTCCGTGGCCTAGGACCCTGGCACCGCATCCCCGGTCTCCGGTCAGGAGACCCAGGTCCCCAAAGAGACATGGGACACCAGAGTTGAGGCACTGGTCCCTGTACCACCAGTACCGGCGAGCTTCCTGCCAAAGATTGCCACAGTGCAGGTCACCCTCGCCCAGACTATCTCCCAGATGTCGGTCCGCACCGGGGCGGAATCGCTCCCTGTCGCGACACCGGTCTCCATGCCCCCGGTACCACTCGTCGGGCAGGCACCAATCCTCACCTGCCTGTATTATGTCCCTGCAAAAGGGTTCGAATATCTGTATACACACCCTCCAGCGGTGTCACTGGTCCTGTCTGCTGTTAATGAAAGGGACAGGCAGGGCCAAGTCAGTGGCACGAAGATGCCAAGAGACTGGACTTATTTGGCAGAAAGATTTATTTGATGGTAAGCCTGCAATTTCGAGTATCTAACCACCAGGCCCTGTTAGGCAGGTACAATTTTAACCTGTGGGACTCCCTTAACCCATTCAAGGAGGCCCTCCTGCAGGACTGAGCCCAGGAGTTGAGATGTGTTGCTCATGTCCATTCCATTACCCACCCTCCTCCCCCCTGTCGGAGTTGCTGGCAAGAAGGAACTGAGAGGGCATAGAGTCGGCAGTGCCTAGTATACCAACACATGAGTGTGGCACTCCAGGGGGCGCCACAGCCAACCCTACGGATACCGCTTAGGCAAAAATCTCCCACGACTGTGCATGTGGGCGCGCACACACCTAGAATGGAATCGACATGAGCAACACATCTCAAAGAACAAGTTACGAAAAGGTAGGTAACCGTTTTTTCTTCTTCAAGTGCTTGCTCATGTCGATTCCATTCTAGGTGACTCACAAGCAGTATCCTCCGAGGTGGACTCAGAGTTGCCAGTCTAGCAGCTTTTTCTCTTGAAAACCACTGTAAGGATTCATATATTGACCCTTTGGTATACCACAGATACTTGTTATGTGGACTTTGAGGAGTAAAAGTGATGAATTTGGAAGATTTTCTCCCTCACCTATCTGTTTCTCACTGTGGTTGAAGGGACTTCCCTTTATCTTTTGAGAAGTTATTGTAATTGGTGATGTAACAAGAGCACATATGTGTGAAAAGAGAGGCCAACTGTAAAAAGTGGTCATATAGTCTGGATGGTTGGCATCATGTTATGCAAAAGGATCCATGTTCTGTAATTCTATGGGATTACAGTTCCTGGTTCCTTGTTTTTAGTTTGGGATTCAGTTTTTATAATGGACAGTGCAAAATGCTTTATTGTTTTTAAAAAAATATTGTTGATACTGAGCACAGTTCCCCTTCCTTCTGCCCCAGGTTGCAGAAAGAGGCTGGAATCCCAAGGGAAGCAATCAATCAGGATTTAAATCCACCAACTAAAATGTTCTTTCCCTCTACCTGTTTTTCTCTTCTTGTGTTTTCTTTCAGATTCCTCCTCCAAGTATAAACTTCACCCTGCCCTCTCCAGTACTGGGAATGCCCTCTGTGCCAATGTTTGACCCCCCGTGGGTTCCACAGTGCAGTGGGAGTGTGCAGGACCCAATTAATGAGGACCAGTCTGTAAGTTAAAGAGCTCCCTAGAGGGGATATTGTTATTGCTTAGTGACAAATTATATCCAGGTGTTGTGGGTGGGGTGGAGGGGGGGGGAGGAGAGAGGGAGTTAAAGAAGACCAAGTAGTCTAAACTCTGAATTTCCTTACTTGTGTCGGTTTACAAGAGATCTTTGAGTACATTGTCAGTATAGTGCCTAGGCATCACATATACAATGTTAATATTTTTCCTATTTTTCAGCAAGAGACTTAAGACAAGAAATCCAACCAAGAGCTTCCTTGTGAATCTCTATTTGGTTAACACCTATTTGTTGTGGGTGTGTCTGTGTGTAGATAGATGGATGGATTTGATCTTTAGTGGTTAAATGTTAGAGGTGACTCATAAAAGTGGCCTAAAACACATGCTGCATGAAAACCAAACCAATTGCTTCAAGGTGATTTCTTTCTTCTTGCTTTTCTGGCAGAAGTCATTTTCAGCCAGGGCAGTATCACGTTCCCATCAGCGAGCAGAGCACATCCTGAAGAACCTGCAGCAGGAGGAAGAAAAGAAGCGCCTAGGCCGGGAAGCCAGTCTTATCACGGCCATTCCCATCACCCAGGAGGCCTGCTATGAGCCCACCTGCACCCCAAACTCAGAGCAAGAAGAGGAAGGTGCGCTCCAGAGCCATGAACTACTTGCCAGGGACCAATAAGCACATGCCTCCCGCATGGAGCAGATCTTAGGGATGCCGTGAGGATGGAAAGTGAGCATTAGTGATAGGGAAGACCCCACTTTAACATCCTCACCATTTCGGACCCTTCAAAGGAATTGGTTTTTAATCACTTTAAGAACCTAACAGCACCATACAGGTATAAGGCATCCATATCAAAAGATAAAAGATTCAAAATGAATGCGAAAAAAGTGTAGCCAATAATTAGTGTAATAAGGGCCTGAACCTGTGAAATGTTGAGTGCTGCCCGCAAGAAACTGGGTGTCCTCAGCTCCCACTGACCAATGGGAGTTGGGGACTCTCTGTACCTCACAGGAGGCACTTAGCACCTTGCCCAATCAGATCCTTAGAATATGAGAATAAAGGAAACTGAAAAGTTAGCCTTTGGGTTGAGGATTTTCATTGGGTCAAGCTAATACAATAGAGAGAATTAGTTAAATGTCCTCTTTTTGCACATTGGAGCTGCACAAATATGCTGATGTGTCCTGAGCTGTGTATGCAGTGGAAAATCTGCAAACAGAATAGTGGCATCACAAGTTCACCTAGACAGTATCTAGAGGAAGGACAACAAATTATCTAGCAATGTGATTTGTTAGGATGTAGAATAATCGTCTAATGGAAGCTGTGGACCTGCATCACCTGAGTCAACTGAAACTTGACTCAGCAAAGCACTGGGTAATATATGTTAAGGAATAGGCCTGCTCTAGCTCCCGGGGATGGACGAAATGACCTAGATCATCTTTTTAGTTTCTAAATTGTGCATTTCACAAGAAGCCTGACTTTTTTTTTCTGTTCCAATCTGGCAGCATGGTGCTTCTCTCTGGGAAGTGCCTTGAATTGTGTCAGTCAAATTTATAAACCAAAATTCACATCTCCTGTTTTCTTTGTCAGTAGAAGAAGTCACCAACTTGGCATCCCGCCGTCTCTCTGTGAGTCCCTCCTGCACCTCCAGTACTTCTCACAGGAACTATTCCTTCCGTCGTGGCTCTGTCTGGTCAGTGCGTTCAGCCATCAGTGCAGAAGGTGGGGGTTGACTTTGCATTTGTTTTTAATCCTCCTTACAGTGTATATATTCATTCTGTTGACTCACAGGCCTCATGTCTTCCTTGGTCTTAACCAAAGCTACACCTGCCTTTTGTCAGGCCTGCTTGAAAGCGCAGGAAGTTCTGAACTAGTCAGCCTCATACATTATGATACTGCTGTTCATTCCCATGTAGCTTCTCTTCAGTTCCAGTGTTTCATTGTGAATTACCGCTGAGTTGTGTCATGTGAAGCACGCTGGGTGGAGAACTGTAATTGAAAGGGATTTTACCAACAGCACATTGGCTAACTCACGCCTTTTACTCCTCTCTGCTCTAGATGAGGAGCACACTACCGAGCACACTCCAAACCACCATGTGCCACAGCCCCCGCAGGCAGTGTTCCCAGCATGCATCTGTGCAGCTGTGCTCCCCATTGTTCACTTGATGGAAGATGGAGAAGTCCGAGAGGATGGAGTAGCAGGTGCTGACCTAGATTAAACATTCATGGACTCTTAATCAGAGGTTACAAAAATCTCTAGCAGTTTGAACAATGGCTCAGATTAGTAAGAGCAGGTAGGCTGGTAGCATCAGAATCCAGTTATTAGTGGTACCCAGGCTTTTTTAAAAAGCTAGGAAATCGCTCACGGAAAAAAAACATGTTAAAAGAACAGTTTTAAGGTTGCAAAGTCAAGTCCTCAGAATTTAGGAAATGCCAGAATCAAGGTTGCCTGTGCAACCTTAATGTGATTCTCTTGTGTGAATGCATTATGATACAGTCTGTAATTACCTGAGCACATCTTATATTTTCCACAGGACCTCTGCCTCATTCAGTGCACAGAATGGATGCTGCACACTTAATGAGCAGCTATTCAGTATTTTATTTTATACTTATTGTTCAGTGTGTGGGCCCAGGCCTTATTTACTGCACACTATTCAAACCCTGCTCTGAAGACAGAATTGTTAATATCCTCATGAACTTTTCTGTGGCGCTCATCACTACAGTACGTGACTGCTTGACAAACATTAATGAATTTATCTTCACGTCTCAATCCTCCATACCCATCTACGACTCCTGGTCCCAGGTCCAGTCTCACCCCCACACTTGCCTCCTTAGCTCACTTATAGGTCAGAATCCCAGTCCCCTAACCCTCCCTGGCGCCTCCTTTTAGTTCCCCACCCCACCTGGCTCCTCACCCCTGTGCACTTGAATCGGGCTACTTCCTCCTTTTCCTTCTCATTGCCTGGGTGCCTGCAGGAGGATCATTGAGAGCACCGGAGATGCAGTTCCTCTGTTCTCAATTCCAGTGCCCGGTGCCACACCAGCCCCTGGCTGCCAAGAGGAGCAATTGGAGAGAAATTCCTGCTCAGCCCATGCAGCCCTAGGATGAAGCATGCTACATGCAGACAAAACCTTTGGAAAATCTAGCTGCTAAATACTGAGCTTGTGCAAACTGAGCTTTTCCGAGGCTCATAATTTAGCCAAATTTGAAAAAAAAAAATTATGAAGATAGCAGAAGACACATCTCTGGCATCAGGGTGAGGCAGCTGCCAAATGTTAAGTCCCTGCTCTAAAGCATGAACGTGTCAGAGCTTCTCAGTGAAACAGTTCATTCTCAAAAGTGACAATCATTTTTGCTTAAATGTACCAAAAATATTCAGCCTGAGGCTGACACCCAGCATGGAAAATGTCAACCCAAACAGTTAAAGTTTGGCAAAGTTGTGAACAACTGAAAAGAGGATCTTACAATGGGAAGTGTCGGGCAGTTTAACTATAGGCATCACTAGCTGTGTTGTCTCTAATTCCACTGTCCAAACACTAGCCACAAATAATACGATTTAGTGAATAACAAAAAATTCACAAAAATATGTGCAGTTTTTAATTAACTGACCATATGTAATCATGCATCTGAGTTTCACTTCTGCAGATGCACATGGTTCTCTGGTTTGCTGGTAGACGTCAAACATTTTAATATAAATATACCCCTTTAAGACTTCTCCTCAAGATGAGGTTCTCACTGGTTCTTTTTCTTCCTTCTGTACAGTGAGTGCTGTGGCCCAGCAGGTCTTATGGAACTGTTTGATTGAAGATCCCTCTACAGTTCTACGGCATTTCCTGGAGAAACTCACAATAAGCAACCGACAGGTAGGTTCTCCTTTTCCCAGTATAGACATTAAAGGAGAGCTTAGCCATCACTTAATGCACGAAAATACAGGAGCGAATAAAATCACTTAAAGGGTAAATAGTCTTTACTATAAGATGGCCTAGAATACTGACAACCAGATCCTCGGCTGGTGTAGATCAGTGTAGGCCCTATCAAGTCAATGGGGCTATGCTGATTTACACCACCTGAGTATCTGGCCCTGATTGTCCAAGGCCCTGTTCTGACTCTGTTTCATGACTCTTAGTCATGAATCCTACCGAGCTAGGTATCCTCAGCTGGTGCAAATGAACCTAGCTTCCTCGGAGCCACTCTGTTTAACCCTCCCTGAAGTACAGGCCTGACATTCAACACCCTGTTTGCAGCGTTGTAGCCATGTGGGTCCCAGGATATTAAAGAGATAAGGTAATACCTTTTATTGGATCAGCTTCTGTTGGTGAGACAAACTTTCAAGCTTACACAGAGCTCTTCTTCAAGTCTGGGAACTGTACTAATCAGAATGTCACAGCTAAATACAAGGTGGAACAGATTGTTTAACATAAGTAGTTAATACATATCATCGTCATCCTTTTCTGTGTATGTCTGGTTTAGATGGTAAACTCTATGGGGCAGGGATCTGTCACTTTTGTTGATCTGAAGAGCACCTTGCACCCCTGTAGCACTATATAAATAATAACATGGACAACACCATGCACACCAGTGACACCATATAAATAAGAACATAAGAACGGCCATACGGGGTCTGACCAATGGTCCGTCTAGTCCAGTAGCCTCTCTTCCAACAGTGGCTGGTGCTAGGTGCTTCAGAAGGAATGAACAGAACAGGGCAATTTATCAAGTGATCCATCCCCTGTCATCCAATCCCAGCATCTGGCAGTCAGAAGTTTGGGAACACCCAGAGCATATGGGGTTGCATTCCTGATCATCTTGGCTAATAGCCATTGATGGACCTATCCTCCATGAACTTATCTCATTCTTTTCTAACCCAGTTATACTTTGTCCTTCACAACCTCCCATGGCAATGAGTTCCACAGCTTGATTGTGCATTATGTGAAGAAATACTTCCTTATATTTGTTTTACACCTGCTGCTTATTAATTTCATTGAGTGACCGTTGGTTCTTGTGTTATGTCAAGGGTACATAAGACTTCCTTGTTCACTTTCTCTACACCATTCATGATTTTATAGAGCTCTTATCATATCCCCCCTTTCGTCATCTCTTTTCTAAACTGAACAGAGACTCCCCATACGAAAGCTGTTCCATACCACTAAACATTTTTATTGCCCTTCTCTGTACTTTTGCCAATTTTAATGTATCTTTTTTGTGGGATGGGGTGACCAGAACTGCACACAGTATTCAAGGTGAGGGGGTATCATGGATTTATACGGTGGCGTTATGATATTTTTTTGTCTCATTATCTGTCCCTTTCCTAATGATTCCTGACATTCTGTTTGCTTTTTGGACAGCTGCTGCACCCTGAGCAGATATCGTCAGAGAACTAATAATGATAGTAATGATGATATCACAATAGATAGCGATATCACCATCCTTATCACCTATCACATGTATATCAAAGTTGACTGCTCACACTCGCTGCATTAATGAGACAGTGAATAAAAAGAAAACAGGGAGAAAAGCAAGTCAAATCCTTTTTGCCTCTGTTTTTAATGACTGTGCACAGAGGCCTAGCTATCTTTACAGCTTCTCACTTAGGCTAGAGGGGAGACCTGGAAGTTTCCTTTGAATTCAGCCCAGTCAGCCACTGATGCTTGTTAAGCATCCAGACTTGAAAGAGTAGCTCTTTCCCCTACAGCCCTGATCACCATTAGAAAGTTGGAATCTGCTGTGTGGCCACCAATGGCTGTTGAAAGGGGATTCTAGGTGAGGGGCGGGGGAACCTTTAAAAATACAGGTGATGTCTACACTGCAGTCAGAGGTGCAACTGCAGCATATGTAGACATACCCAAGCCAGCTCTGATCTAGCTAGCGCAGATAACAGTAGCAGTGAAGCTGCAGCAAAATGAGCGACAGCACAGGCTAGCCACTTGAGTATATACCCAGGGCCCCAGGCAGGTTTGTACATCCTTTACTGCTGCCCGTCCTGCTGTGACTTCACTGCTGTTGTTACCTGAGTTAGTTAGATTGTGTCTGCGCATGCTGCATTCACACCTGGGATTGCAGTTTAGACATACCTATAGAGAGAGACAATTTAAAAATTAAACTCTCCAAAACAGAAGAGATAAGGGACCAGATTTTCAGCTGGTGTAAATCTTCCAGTGACATCAACTATGCCAATTCACACCCGCTGAGAATTGGCCCCAGCCTTTCATAACATTTATCCCTCTGTTCTCAGGTTTCCTTCTTCTCCCCAAAGTATTTTACGTACGAATTGCTGTGGAACCTTTTCAGTCTCTTCTGATCTCTCACACCATTAAAAAACAGAAGTGGCTCCAATGAAGTAAATGGAGCTGCCTAAACTAGAGTAAAGCTGGTGTAAGTGAGGTTAGAATCAGTCCCATAACTTTAAAAAGCTTTTATGAAACATAACATTTAAAAATTAAGGAATATCTTAGTTTTAGCTTATTGCACTAATAAATTGTAAAATTAGCAACTTAAACAATGTAAAATTCTAAAGGAACAAAGAGAGGAAAGAAATAGTTAAGTCTAAAGAGCTGGATTCTCTGGCCCACTCCACTGTCTTTGCACCGCCTAAGCATCACAAAGAGACCTTCCGTAACTTCTCTGGCCCCTCTGCCAGGTGTATAGCTGGCATGGCCTGTCTCTATGCCTAGCCAACAGCCCTGGCACAGGGGCCATGCTGGAGTTAGGGAGCAGGGAAGAGGAGTGTCCAGACTGTGATGTGCTCTGTCTATCCTCAACTGGTGGATGATCCCTATGCCAGCCTACACACGTTAGAACTGCCCAAAGGAGAAAACAACAGAGAATCTGGCGCAAAATGGGAACTATAACCAAGCAGCGACAACGATCACAGTAAAGTGAATTAATTTTCATATACTCTCTCCAATACTGTCCTAGTAGCACTTTTTCATTGTAAGTAAGAACTTGAATTGCTACAGGGAAGGTGCGGCGACAGGATTGGGAAGCTGCAAGGGCAGATGCCCATGGTGATATCTCTAGGTAAGAAAGTGATCTACAACGTGAAACCGTGAGAACCACTGACCTAGAGAATACATTCACTATGGCCTTAGACTTGCACTTAGAATTCTAAGTCCTCTCCTAAGCATATGGTTCCATTTCATGCAGCGAGAGAGAATGAGAACGAGAAAGGAAGGAAGGAAACTGTAGACTATTTTGTGATGGAAATTAAAAACTCTTGCTCTTCTTCCAGGATGAGTTGATGTACATGCTGAGGAAGCTCCTACTGAACATCGGAGACTTCCCTGCCCAGACATCTCACATCCTGTTTAACTACTTGGTGAGTGGCTCCCAGTACCAGCCTACAGCCCATAAACCTAACCTTTGACTGCCCATTTCCTAAAGCACATGTGTTACAATCTAGAAGGAGAGAGTGCCCTGTAGTTTTGCCCACACAATTTATGCACATCAAACCTCCAGCTGTCAATGTAGATCAGCTCAGACAGGCTTCCATTCCCTCCCCTCCCCCCCGCCATTTATTAAAGAGTGAAATAAACTGTTATCCTGTCATCCCAAACCCACAGCTACGCACAACCCTTTTGCAGAGCAATCATTGCAGTTCTGCTGGGGGAGACCATGCAACATGTGTACCGCCTAAGCTGCACTGTAGGAGAGTCTGCGTGAGGGATCATGGGCCTGTTCCTGCCTGCCTTATACCAGATCCTCCTCCACTCACAATTCCTGCTTTCCTGACTTGGTCCAGGTCCCCGCTCCTCCACCCTGCCCTGACTGTGACTTTGGCTTTGCTTGACTCCTGATTCTGTCTCCAGCTCCAGTTTCTGTCTCCTGACTCCAACCACTAGGCATGACTGCCCACGCCCTGGTCCTCATACACTGCTGCACAGATCCTCCCTTTCCTCCACTCTATAGAGATAGGGTATAAAGGACCATGGTGGCTTCTTCCCTACCCACTCATCTGCCAGGTGCCCATCCCAGCTATTACGGTTGTTCTGGATCAGCCCCTCAGCACACATCGGTGGCATCCCATACTCACCCAGAACAGAAGGAGGTAGAAAGCTGACATTGGGCATAGTCGGACTAAGCGACATGAACTTTCAAGTATTAGGTTTGACAGGTTGAGTCTTCTCCCAATGACAAGTAACGCTACAGGAACCATCTTTTTGTTCTGTGTCTGTATAGTGCCTCGCACAGCAGGGTCCTGGTCCATGACTGGAGCTCCTAGGTGCTACGACAGTACAAACAATAAATGTTCATCACAAATGCCTCTGTCTGACTGAGCCACGTAGTTGACTTGGGTTGATGACAGACTGACTGCTCCTCAGAATAACGGAGGACTGTATTAATGATAACTCTGGGACATGGAGTTGGCTGAAGCAGGACTAATGCCAGTAAAACAATGTGATGTGTATACAGAAGCAGCTGGAGTGCCACTCTTTTGTTTGTGCCCTGCAGGTGGGATTGATCATGTACTTTGTGCGTACTCCATGTGAATGGGGCATGGATGCCATTTCAGCTACCCTGACCTTCCTGTGGGAAGTGGTGGGTTATGTAGAGGGCCTTTTCTTCAAGGATCTCAAACAGACTATGAAGAAGGAGCAGTGTGAAGTAAAACTGCTGGTGACTGCCTCAATGCCAGGTAGGAACATGTACAATCTTTATGACCTAGCTGGGATCCTTTACCTATCTTCTATATTTGCTATTTTGCTTACTGCTCCTACACCCCTAAAATATAGAATTGCTGGTTTGAGATCCATTGGAAGAAGGTCAGTGGAAGCTCCCTCTTAATATCATCAGACATTTTTAAGCCAGTCCTCCTTGAATTTGGGCTCTGTAAAATAATTCTTGAACAGTACATAGCCCCTTCAGAACTCTGGGGGCAAATAAACAAAAAGTGACATCAGAACAGTCTGTTCAGCGTGGAGCCATGTGCCAATCAGTCCCTGAAGGACCGCCAAGTCTGATCATTTGAAGAGTCTGCCACTCAGGGATAGCTCAACTTGAAACCCTCCAGTATAAATCATGGCAATGCCTGGGGTTAATAACCAAGAGTGTAAAGTGGTAACCCTACATCTTCATGAGCCAGACAAGAGATTGCTCTGTGAAAAACGGAGTTGTCGTTTTATATGTATTTCTTCCTTAGCGTAACTCTTACAGTTAAAACCAATTGTAACCCCTTAGAAAAGATAAGTTCTCATTAAATGGGAGTATAAGTATTGCATAATGGATTCCAAATACCTAGAACTTGTGTTGGCTCCTCACAGGACGAATTTCACCCATTGGCCTTACTCTGTGAATAGTCCCATTGAAATAGCATATGAATTACGTGAGAAAGGAGGAGAGAGAGAATGACAGCTCTTCTTTACTATAGGCACAAAGACCCTGGTAGTGCATGGACAGAACGAGTGTGACATCCCAACCCAGTTACCAGTGCATGAGGACACACAATTTGAAGCTCTTCTGAAGGTGGGAATGAGGTTTTTGGTAGAGCTGTTTATTGATACATTTAGCTGTCTGTGTCTGTCACATCTAAGTTTTAGAAATACAGTCTTACAAACATCCCAATTTCAGCGTGGTAGAGGAACGCTGCTCTGATAAGCACTTCCATCTCAAGATGGGTGACCACTACTGTATAAACTGGGGAGTGAACTGATGTCTAATGTGGGGTACTCAGGAGTTCCCATTGCTAGCCAATGCCCCACAAGTGTAACTCTGGGGCCAACAGACTGCTGCAGATCAGATACAATTTGCTAAATAAATTAGTTAACAATTCACTGACATACTCATCCATTCATTTTATTCTGGTGTTTGACCAGCTCTATTACCTACCCAAGAAATGAACCAAACAGCTGTTCCCACTAAGAACTCTTTGGTGGCCCAGGTAGTCCTGATTCCACCACATGATAACCAGCAGATTTGTTTTTGCCTCAGTGGAGAAATCAGCATTTCAAAAAGAAAGAGGATGGTCCAGTGGTTCAGGTGCTAGCCTTGGGACTTGGCAGATAGGGTTCAGTTCCTTGCTTTGCTAAAGATTTCAAATATGATCTTGGGCAAGTCACTTAGGCCAGTGGTTCTCAACCAGGGGTAGACATACCCTGGGGGGGTATGCAGAGGTTTTCCAGGTGGTATGTCAACTCATCTAATTATTTGCCTCGTTTTACAACAGCTACATAAAAAGCACTAGCCAGGTCAGTACAAAGTAAAATTTCATACAGACAGTGACTTGTTTATACTGTTCTACACACTGAAATGTAAGTCCAATATTTATATTCCAATTGATTTATTTTATAATTATATGGTAAAAATGAGGAAGTAAGCAGTTTTTCAGTCATTGTGTGCTGTGACACTTTTGTATTTGTATGTCTGATTTTGTCAGCAAGTAGTTTTTAAGTGTGGTGAAACTTGGGGTACGCAAGACAAATCGGACTCCTGAAAGGGGTACAGTAATCTGGAAAGGTTGAGAGCCACTGACTCAGGCCATGTCTACACTTACAAGCTTACAGCGCACAGCTGTACCGATACAGCTGTGCTGCTGTAAGATTGCTTGTGTAGGTGTGTCGAGCGCTTATGCTGGCAAAACTTATATCACTATTGGGGGGAGTTTTTTCACCCTCTTGAACAACAAAAGTTTTGCCGACGTAAGTGCTAGTGTAGGCATAGGCATAGCCTAAGGCCATGTCTACGCTTGCTGCGATGTGTAGAGTACAGGGACTAGTACTATACATGTAGCTGCATACTGCAGTGAAAGGCAAGCTGCGTCTGCACATGTCATTGTGGCGTACAGCTACAGGCTGTAGCCTATAGAGAAAGGCTCCGGCAGTGGGGAAAGGCAGCTTTGCCTTTCCCTGCTGCCAGAGCCTTTCATTGACTTTAAGGCCAGAAGGGACCATCGTGATCATTTAGTCTGATCGCCTGCACGTTGCAGGCCACAGAACCTTGCCCACCCACTCCTGCAATAGGTCCCTAACCTCTGGCTGAGTGACTGAAGTCCTCAAATCATGATTTAAAGATTTCCATTTTACAAAGAATCCACCATTTACTCTAGTTCATACCAGTAAGCGACTCGTGCCCCAGGCTGAAGAGGAAGGCAAAAACCCCCCAGGGTCTCTGCCAATCTGACCTGGGGCAAAATTCCCTCCCAACCCCAAATATGGTGATCAGTTAGATCCTGAGCATGTGGGCGAGACCCACCAGCCAGACACCTGGGGAAGAATTCTCTATAGTAACCCAGACTTTCCCTGCAGCAGCAAACTACACTGCTGAAAATAGCAGTGTAGACATGGGAGGCACTGCTTGGATGTGTGGGGCACCGGGGGGTCAGGCGTGTCGGGCACTCTGCTCTGCCCACCTAAGCAGTGCCTCACCATCTATGCAGCTATTTATACCTGAGCTAGGTGGTCGTGAAGTGTCTGTTGTCTACACGCTGCCATAAGTGTAGATATAACCTTTGTCTCTCTCTGCCTTATTTCCACGTTTTGTATCACAGCACTTCCTTACCTCGTAGGGTGTTGTGAGGATAAATACATATGTCTGTGAGATATTTGGGTCTTGTAGTAATGGAGGCAGTGATACCCATATGATGATGTAGTTATAGAGACAGAACAGGTCTGGAGGCAGAAATAATTGTTCTGTGGATAAACCAAGGTAACATCAGTCCCCAAGACTGTCAATCCAGCAGATTTTAGGAACACTGAAATGGGTGTGTGTAGATATCTAGATATACACGTTTTAAACGAAGAAAGAAAAGTGTTAAATGCAAGAACAATGTGCCAATGTCAGCAAGACATTTGGGAATGGTCCCTGTATAACTGGTTATAAAACTCTTTGTCTCTCTACAACCTACTTCATGAATAACAAGCTGGTCTTTGTTTCTTCCCCCTTAGGAGTGCTTGGAGTTTTTTAACATACCTGAAACCCAGTCTGCTCATTATTTTTTAATGGATAAACGATGGAACCTTATTCATTACAACAAGGTGAGACAAAGGCCTGGTCCAGCTGATTTTATTCTTTCTTCATCCCTTCCTGAATATTGGGAGTGGCCAGAATATAGCAAGAGGGCCATATGTGGCCAGAATTCTATCATCATTGATACAGAGCTGTGGCCTGTGGAAATTACGGGTCTTGGTGTCCCTGGAGAGAGATTGAAGTGATCCATGCCCTGTTATCCAGTCCCAGCTTCTGGCTACAGTTACAGCTGTATTTTTTAAAAATCTTGATTTGTTATTCTCTTCCATTGCAGACTTACGTCCGGGATATTTATCCTTTCCGGAGGTCAGTGTCTCCACAGCTCAACCTGGTACACATGCATCCAGAAAAGGGTCAGGAACTCATTCAGAAACAGGTATCTCACCACCACCAAGGCATCTCCATTGTCCTTTCAAAGGGCTCCCCTCGTGCTGTGGGGGGCACACTTTTCCAAAGGTGCAGCTTGTGGCATGAAAGCCTCCTGGGCGTCATTTCACCAGGCATGCTGCGTGTTGAGAGACAATCAAGGCACTGAAGAAGGCAGTGTAAACTCCCTCCAACTGGATCCTTTTAGCTGTATTGTTCTGCAAATGTTCTCATACGTGTGGTTGAGTAACTCCACATACTTCAGCTTCAAAGGCAGGGATATCCACATTACTTCTTTCAAGGCACCGGCCCCCGGCCCTTTCGGAGCCTGCTCGATGACTTTCCCCCACAAGTCTGCCTGTCTCTGCAATAGACGCTACCACTCGTGGTTTCTTCTCCCTCATGGGAGCGTCTCCTCTGTCCCGTACTTGCTCCGCCTCTCAGATATTCCTTCTTGGGACAGGATTCTCCGCTCCCCGTCACCTGAGGCACAACTGTAGCAATTGGCATCGATTGCCTTGCCTTAGTGTCCCATCTGTTCCATTACCTCTCACCACAGCCTCCAGAGGCTCTCCCATCGGGTCTTGAACCCACGTAGTGGGGCAGTGACCGTCCCATCATGTACCAGTGGAAGTATCAGCTCCTGGAAGAATCAGGTGTCATCACCCAGTCCCGGGAGGAATGGTGAAGGCTCTGTCACTGGGCCCACCTGCCCCACCTACTAGAGTGGCCTCCAATCCATTCTCAGAGTCCCTGCTCTTCTGATAAGCCAGGATGTCTCAGTAGCACTCGGGGAGAGTTACCCCAGGGCACTTGCCTTCCACTCTTTCCACTTTGTCTTTGCACTTAGGTGACGAGATTGATCTTTAAAGATGTCACACTCTTTTCAAACCCCTTCTGATTGGAGTGATTCTGCTGTGTGTCTCTCTCTCTCTCTCTGCTAGGTGTTCACCCGCAAGCTGGAGGAGGTAGGACGGGTGCTGTTCCTCATATCACTGACCCAGAAAATCCCTGTGGCCCACAAACAATCCCATGTGTCTATGCTCCAAGAGGACCTTCTCCGCCTGCCTTCCTTCCCTCGGAGTGCCATTGATGCAGAATTCTCCCTCTTCAGTGATCCTCAAGGTACTGGGAAAGTACTTGGCAAAGATTTCACTGGCTCCATTTGCATGTTGAACTTGGCGCCAGCAGCTTCATTCAGGCAATCTTATTACTCGCTCAGAAAGACTGAACAGCATAGAGGTTTATCTCATCTCAAAGAAAAATACCCTGCCCAGGAATATGATGTCCAGACATTAGGACATAAATGTGACTGCAGTAAAGGTGCTGCAGTATAAAACTGTTCATTAAGAGCCCACAAGAAAGGCTGCTTTCCATTGACTTCAGTGGGCTTTGGATTAGTGCCTCAGTTACAGGCACTCTATACACTCTGATTACTGACAATCACTGCTAAGGCACCTACAGCTGTGCTCACAAACTTTGT